CGGTGTTGACTTGCGGGTAGGTGCTCCGCCATTCTCCTTGATTGTCTTACTGAATTGCATGTAGGCGGAGGAGGAATCGCTGCAAAGATCGCAACAGTCCAACAGCATGATGTACCGCTCAGCCTACAGCGAAGACCGGACGCGGAAGCAGGCTGCAAAGCCATCCTTCGACACGCATTTCCTGGGGACTACCATGCGCACCATATCCACCGAACACAAAATCAGAACAGTCCCAGAAGATTCTGTCAACTATATGGCTCTGGCACTCAGAGCGCGCCTGCAGGACCTCATCACGGCCATGATCGCTGCTGCCCACCACCGCACGGATACACAATTCGACCGACCAGCGTCCTTGTATGAGGATGACCAGCCCATGTGGAGCATTCTCCTCCGCAGCGATGTCGCCAAACAGCTCGCTGCTATCGAAAAGATTGAACGTGAAGAGGAGACACGCATACGACGAGAACGAAAAGAGCGCACAGACATGGCCGCCGCGCATGCTGCTGCACTCGCCGCCCAGGCTGCAGGAGGCCCAAATGCCGCTGCAGACACGAGCTTTGAGGACGGCGGTGAGGGTGGGTCCAAGAAGAAGCGAAAGAAGGATGGCCCGGGTGTAACAGCGAGGAACATGAGCGAGGACGTGCGCAAGAAGATGTCGAATGCCGTGGCGAGTCAGGCGGCGGGCATCGGCGGAAAATATTCGTGGATGACCGCTGCCAATGCGAGTTCCCCGACTCCCGCAAAGTCAAAGCCTGCTGCGTCGCCTTCACCAGCGACGACAACAGCACCGGCGTCGACGGGTGGCTGGGCACGGCCGTATGTTTCTGCGAAGAAGACTACGACGACGTCGACGCCGGCGCCGGTGGAACAGGATACACGCTTACCTGTTACGTTGAGAGACGCCATGTTTGTTGTCGAGAAGGAGCGTGGGCATGGTGGTGGACGTGGGGCTGCGAGAGGATGGGTCTAGTGCCAGGACTATGTGGTATGGGCATTCCATTGTATTCTATCGTACTATGACTGATGTGTAGATAGTGAAATGCATTTGTTCTACGAGGTGAGGCACCAGTAATTTGGCTCAGTCGCAGTTGCGAGTACGAAGTCAGTAAATTTCTCGTTCCCGAACAGACCAAACTAACTCATCACACAATCAAGTATGCGCCGATTTACGCGACTATGGTCAATAGAACGCCTCTATTCAGATCACACCTCAATTCACTCCTCATTACTTACTCATGTCTTCAGAGATACTCTCCACCACGACGAATGGCGCGGCCTTCCCTTAGAACAACAAATTGGATTCATGATTCCAATGGAACTTATGATCAACATCACCCATCTGCGGCGCCCGTCGTCACCACCGCGGAGTACCTACGTCTGCACGGGAAGAATCCCTTGACCGAGTCATCCGACGGACACTGGACTCAAAGTGTATACCACATCCGTCCTAACCTCATCACGACCAAATTCCCTCGTTGTCGGTTATCAAGAAAGCTGTTTACTTATGACCCGCAAGGCGTCGTGCGAGCGGATCGAATATTGAATGCGGAGCAGATTTACTCTCTCGCTGATCCCCGGGTGGTGGAAGCGCTGTTTAGTGCGCTGCAGGAAGGGACTATGTAGAAGAAGAAGGCGCTGAGGACATTTAATATTTCGGGAGAGTTGGAAATGTAACAAGGCCGTCCTACATCCAGTCAAAACGATTAAGTATTCCGCGGTCGACGATGCGGGGCTTCGCAACGGACTATGGCCATATCCGGACCAATGTTCTTTTCCTTGAAGGAGCTGTGCATTATGGACGAAAACCAGTATGTGATGCATGATATCCTAGGTGTTCAGTATACATGCTAATGTCATCTTAGGGCGCTATGTACTTTACCGCATAACACGTATAAACAAGCAACGTCCTGTATGATTTTGAGCGTGTCGACATTCTAAGAGAACTGGCTTCCACACTCGTGGAACGTATTTTCGCGTTGACGGATGGACAGGCGGCTCATATTGGTCGGGGGAGACTGTAAGTTACTTTCTCAACTTTGCAAGTCTAGAAAACTCAAACTGTCGTTTAGTACTTAGTTGTGCGCTAACATTTTTCACGATGGAATTGTTTCCACAAGCACATGTCAACCGGGTCAACGCTTGCAAGCGTCTTGTCGACGGACGTCCGAATTTAGTCCGCTTGCCTGGCGGGTACGATGTACCTGGCGGTGGTAGCCCGGATCAAGTAAGTAAGTCATCGAGCAACTTCCCGGCCTGTGGTTTTCACTTGCAGTTCCTAGATTCTACATCTCCACCGACGAACGCGACCCAGCGATCCTCGACCTATTCCGACGCGAAGGCGCCGTGCTCATGGATGATCTCCTCACGCTCGGGGACCGCCACCGTTTCGCGCGGAGTGACCGCCAGCACGCATGGGCGCTGATGATCTCGGACCTGCTGGGGGTCGTCGAGCAGCTTGTGCTTCTGGGCACGCGATGAGCTCGGTGCTGGGCGGGGGTGGATCTACGGCGGCAAGGGGGGCGGATTCGACGATGTCACTCTCTTCAGTGGTGGATCGGGTTGAAATGATGTCGCCTGACGCGCGAAACAACATGGCAGTAACTTTAAGACGGAAGAGGCAATAGCCGGCGGCAATGTGCTTTCTTGACACAGCACCATCATGTAACCACTGAAGCTGCCTCTCTTTTCCTCGACTTGGCGTTTCCGTGTCCTTCAGTAAGTACCCTTCGCTGACGACCAAGAAAACATTCCACACTAGCTGACAACTTTGTCAGGCGGGACTCGTCAAAGTGCGGAATAGACTTGCGGAAGCTTTAACAACTTCGCACAGAATTCCCCGCACTTGTTTGATCCTGGTTCAGATGCGTATCAAGTGGCGCTAATTCTTTACCTTTCCAGCTAGAGGAACGCGAGATGCCCAGGGAGTGGCGCGTCTGACCCCGTTGATGTAGGGATTCTGAATCTAGCCTGTACCGTGTTCTGGCGTACAACACATTCTACAGGCCGGAGGCCGTTCGGGTTCATATGGGTTGCGTGGTTCACCGTTCAGTGTTGCTACTGCAATACATTGACGGCCATTATGTGGCGAGACGCGGAGCTTTTACCTTTTTCTTAATTTTGATTACCGTGTAAAGGTATCTATGAGGGCGTTGATGTATGTATGTATGTTCGATCCAAACGCGTCAAATCGTTGAATCGAACGAGTGTACTCCCCGGGCATATTTCCTTCGTAGACTCGGACTGTATACCGTACTGTACCGTCACGGCTTGACGAAGGTTGACGGTGACAGCACGTCGTGACTGATCATGAATTAGCCGTCGTCGGTCTTCCCTCCACCACCGTCCACCGACCGAGGAAAAACGGCTACTTGAAAGGAGCATCATGAAAAAAGGAGGCCCACGTCCTGCCCGGGTATCCCCTGCTTCACCATGGAAAACGCGGACAGGCCTCCCTTCAATCCTCTCTTTCTCGCTGTGCCCACATTATTATTGGCGCCGGTGTTGGCACTCGACCTAGCCGTATTTTGGAAGGCCCTGTTCTTCCTCGGGTACACCGCCGTCACCGCTGTCGGGCTGCACTCCACGGCGGGCGACAACCTGCAGAACTATTACCTCGGGAGCGCGTTTTCGGGTGGTTGGATTACCGCCTTTGTGCTGCTTTTCATCGTTAATCCTGTTAGGACTTGCCGCCATAATACGGATAAAGTGCATCCCAGTCAGTATGGGATTTGGTACAGGTCGTATTGGTGTTTGTGCATCATCTTCAATCTTCGCGGCATCGGGTGGAATTATCAGGTGAGTATTGCTGCCACTATTTTCGCGATTCCTCTAAGTCGTTCTAGTGCACATTGCCTCCCAATACCACTCCAACGGAAACGCGCACCCAATTCGTGAAAAGGAGTCTGCGACGCGCCATACTCTGTTACGTTATTTTGGACGCCACCCAGATTTACATCCTTCGGAATTCCCAAACATTCTCTTCGACAGCCGCGCAGCCATTTCTTACCCTCGCATATCCGTGGCGCACACTCGTGATTGTCATGACGGCCGTCCTCATCAGCTGCGGTCTCGTCGTGCAGTACGCAGTCCTGGGCATCATTCACGTCAGTTTGGGATTAGGAGAACCCTTGGACTGGCCGAATAACTTTGGAAGTCTGAAAGACGCCTACACAATCAGAGGGTTCTGGGGGTATGTAAAGTCTTTCTGTGGTAGATGATTAGTGCTCATGTCGCTTGTAGGAAAACCTGGCACCAAATGGTCACAAGGGTACACTCAGTCCACTCCCTTCTTAGCGCCTTCTAAATTTTGACTTCGACAGAACGTCACGGCCGTTGGCAAAGCCGTACGCAACTTGTTCGGAAAGAAGAAGAACTCATTCGCCGCATACGCGACGCTCCTCGTCACCGCGTTCGCTGTTTCCGGGCTTATGCACTGCGGCGGGGACGCCATGATGGATTTCAAGCACAGCGGCAAATCCATGCCCTTCTTCCTCCTTCAAGCTGCTGGTATCGCATTCGAACAGACGGTCATCAGTGCCGGGAACCGCCTGGGAATAGCGGGATCGGGCTGGAGACTGGTTGGGTTTATGTGGGTCGGACTGTGGTTCAACTTTAGCGCTGTGCAGTATATCGATAGTGCTATACAGGCGGGAATGCTCGACGCGGAGGCTTTGCCTTTCTCGCCTATTCGTTTTGTCCAAGGGCGTCTGGGGCTTTGATGGGTCGCTGTAGTCTGATAACTTTCCTTTATCGAACAGTTGCTACTTCGTCTTGGGTTGTCGAGCGAACCTCAACAGTGTGTAAGACCGGGTCCAGCGAAGTATCCTTCAAATAGACTGACGATTTGACGTGGACATGCACTTACATGGACTCTTAATCCTTGAAAGGTAAAGAACGGCACTAGGTAACGAGAACGAAGTTCTCAAAAAGTCTTCAATAGATTGCGGTGGGCAGCTTTTTTGTCCCCGCCACACGAATCCGAGCCTTGATCACTAATTCCATCTCTGATAGTATATCGGTTAGTACACGCGCCTGTCATTCAGTTCGACTACCTACATTGGTGCGCGCGAAAGCTGGGTTCGACTCCCAGTCAGAGAGTAAACATCTGAACAGGAACATTTTTTAAATTTCAACTCTCCGCTGGTCTGCGGCGCTGGTCCCTGGATCTCGATTCTCGACAGTCGACTCTCGAGGGGATGGGCCAGGGGCCTGGGTGGGCACCCAGTAATGGCCCGCCATCCATCCATTGTCCAATGTTTCCCGACAGCACTAAGCACTTTTCTTGGCTCTCCGCCTTTGCACAAGCAGCCGAAATTCGAATCATTTTTGTTGTTCGATCATCAGTAGCGAGCATCGAGCACATTTGAACTCGCGGAGGTCATAGAATTTCCTCGACACATCCTACCAGTTTGGGAAGAACTCATACAGTAACGTACAGTTTTTGCAAAAGCTGACATTCGAAGGAACATTGAAGTCGTACCAAATGATAGCCGGTTACGCAAAAAACCTCTTCAACTCCACCAATACATCCTCCGGATGACTTATGGTAAAGTCATGGTCTGCATCCTGTATGTCCACTACCTCGCATTTGGCGCCTTCCGGAAACAGAGCCTGTATCTCGCGCGCGAATCTGGGCGGTACTACAGAGTCCTTTGTTCCCTAAAATTTTAATCGTAGATGAGAATACGTCGATGGGAAAGAAGACAAACATACGTGAAGGATGAGAACGGTCCGCCCGTTGAAAGCGTGCGATTTGTAGTGATCGGTTTGTCCGCGGAGAGGGCCGTAGCGCATAGATAAAAGTAAGACTGCATTGAAGTACGGCAAGTAGGCGCGTTGCAGTTGTACGATCTAACGAGCACTGTGAAAAAGTGGGTTGATTGAGAAGTGGACAGGGCGTACACGGTCTATAGGCTCGGAAGGACGTTTCAGTTGTCGTCGAGCAGAGCCCTGTTATTGACGCGTTAGTTAACATTTCGATAGGCTTATTGAAAACAGACTCTAACGATGCCACCGTTTACAATCGGAAGGAAAAGTGAAGACGTGAGGAGGTTGAGTCCGCGGGGGAGTATTTCAGACTGAATGATTGCACGCATTAGACGGAGAAAGAATGAAATATTGTGCATTTTACCCCGAAAAGTCCAGCAGGCGCGAGGAGCACGACCTTGTCATCCACCAGTTGGGGGAACTGAGTTGTGAAGGCAGCTGCGATAGGACCGCCCTGTATTGCGACTGATTCGATGACCGTGATTGCTAGTAGAAGTCAGACGTTACCATAGATAGGCCCACTACGCTGGCCTTATCCCAATGGACATGCTGCATGAGGAGGGCTAGTTGCGTGGTGTAAAGGCTGATATTGTAGAGGGACACTGGCGCGTCGGAATAGCCGCGTCCATAAAGATCTACTCTTGGAGTCAGAGCGTGTTAAAGAGGGGTAGGAAGTAGCACCTTACCGAACAGCATAACGCGATGGCCAGCTTCGGCGAACTTTGGAGCGACGTCTTTCCAGATGAAAGAAGGAACAGATAAGCCGTGGATGAAGACAACCTGCCATCGAAGGATACATTGCATGAGCGTATACAGTGTAGACGTGATGAGCTCTCTACCTTCCGTCCTGTCTCAGGGCCGAATATCCAGTAGCGCACCTGGAATTCACGGTAAAGATACGTCTTCCGGGAATGCACCTATCCGACTTACCCGTCCAATGGGAAGATCCACATAGGCACCCCCGGGAAAGATATCTTCTGGGTACACCTCGTCGACTTGGGACTTGACATCCGCAGGCAGATCCGCTAGAGAATGCTTGCGCGGGCCACTTGTTAGAGGCATGCCTGCTTTCAGGAGCGGGTACGCGATGGCGGCAGTTGCTACTAGAGCAGGGACGAGCGTAAGAAACAGGCGATTGGAGAGAAGCGGGGAGGCCATCCTGGATGCTCGGGGTCGAAGGAAGAAGGAGGATAGGGAGAGGAATTACAAATTGAAGAGCGCTCGTTCAAAGGGGCTTCATCAGATGGCCCGATTCGAGTATGGCGTTCCCACAGTAGTACCATATCGTCCGCGAAAAGGTGAAGTCCGTGTGAATGAAAGGTGCTATCATTATGAGGTGAGAGTCAGTGGGTGGGGTAAAGAAGGTCTCGGCCTCGGCCTCCAGTCGGGATTCCGGTCCGAGGCCAAAACCTTGACCAGAACTTTCACGCGACATGACAACCTCGTTTACTGTATACCTAGGGACGTTGCTTGAGTGAAAGCGCGCTCTCTGCATGCAGCGTCTCGGTCGGGAGTCCCCCTTCTGATCGACGAAATGCGGAATTCACGCATGGTTTCCTTGCCGCTAACTTCAGTCGCTCAATCGCGAAGTTGCCCCCAGGCCCTTATACCGCTTTCTTGGAACACTGGTCTCATGGAAAAACACGTCTGAAATTACGTGCCATTTTCTATCATGCTATGGTACGCGTTTTCTCCTCACTTCAGTGGAAAGATGTATTGCCAGCAAATCTGGCGCCCCGCTGCCCTTCAGGATTCATCCATGTCACTCGCTGAGTATATCTACAGGCAAAGAATGGGCTGTGAAAGAAGGCGGTCCTCATACTGGCCCCTCGTAGACCTTCCCGCATCTCCCGAGGACGGAATATCCTCTAATAGCTGGAATTGCGCGGCAGTCCCCCACTGACGACCTCTTCATGCCGCAGGAACGATATCAGCTAACCTTGAGTCTACGTCCCATTGCTCGTCACTTCCCATCATTTGTTTTTCGTACGTACTAACTACTACTATGGTCACCTCTACATAAAGTTATTTCATCTTCAACGAGTCATAGTTCTGCACCTTGGACTATTTCTCTCCTGCTATCTAATCTGTGCACGTACTACCTACTCCGCGCTTTCTGGGACCAATTTCTACGATATCTGAACTCGAGGTACACAAACAAGCTCCTCCCCATATCGCGTTACTGACGATATGCAGTGTACTAGCGACTCATCCCCACCGGAGACGTTTCAGCGTTTTCTACAACTCACCAATTCGGCAGGCCAAGTGTAAGTTGTTTTACAATCATCTCCATGTACAACTAACAAATTCCCGCGTCGCAGTTGCGCCACACTAATTTTGCTTTTGACCCAGGAACGTTTCTCCTTCCCTTTGAACGTAAGCCGATACTGTGGACTACTTGCTATACTGAACTGGCGAACAATGGGGAAATAGGCGTCCACTTCCCGTAACAGGTGTGTACAAACAATGATGATCACGAGACTATATAAGCGCACAAGCATGGGCCTGTTGCTCTCAATATTCCGACATTCACCATCGGGACTCGACCAACATGGCCACCTTGTTCATGCCGAAGAAAGATGCCCGAACTGGGAAAATAATTCGGGGACCTACAGTATGTGAATTCCTCTCGTTGAGTTACTGCTAATGTGATGTTCTACAGGTGCCCAGAAAATCGGTTGATGTAACAAACCTCAAGGCTCGCCAACTGGATCGTCAAGCCGACCAGCTAGCGGAGGAGTACGAAAGGCGCGGCAATCCCGTCTTGACCATCCTCCATTCCAACGCAGCCCTTACCCAGGCTGATAAGTCTGTCGTCGCCCAGGCCATTACTATTATTGATGACGCGCTCAATGCATTTAATGATCTCTCCGCCGGTCACGTCGAAAGCACTGGGCGCGACGGTGTTCTTGCGCGGCTGGAGAAGACGCGCGACGCCTTGTATAGTGTCCTACGCGGGTTCAATTTTGCCCGTCTCCCCAAAACCGCACTCTTGATCGTCTTCGAAATGATGGCCACCGATGAACCCATGGTCTACAACCTATTCGGGAAACGTCCCCAATATACCCTCGCGCTGGTATGCAAGGCGTGGCACGACACCATTCTTGAATGCCCCGCCATGTGGCGCAAAATCAATATCCGCAACATTGGGCCAGAGCGCCGCTCGATTAAAGTATTCCGTTTTTCGGGCGGGTTGTTCAAGGCTTTCGAAGAGGTGGTCAATCGGTCGAAGAGGCACGAGTTGTGTCTGAACATTAGTGTACCGGATCTGGCTCCAGATGGTACCATAACGAACAAGACCAACGGCCCGGGCCAGGCGTACTGGGCCAAAAAGCATGTCTTCCTTCTGGTTAAACAGGCGTCACGATGGGCAAAGGTAAAGATCTCATGTTTGCCTTCGTTGATGGCATGTTTATGCGTGCTCCGCCCGTCTCTTCTGCGGAATCTTGACCGGCTTTCCCTCGGGCTGCAGCCCATTCCTGGCGAAGTGTACGAAAAGGTTTACACAGTTCAGGGAATCACGAAGGCCCTAGACCCAAAGCGATGTAAAATCGTCTTGCAAGAGTTCGAGGTGCTGTCCCGGAAGGATAACCTCATTACCGATGAAAAGCGGCGGCTCTTGACCGTCCAAGACGGCGCGCTCCTGGATCCATTCGATCTTCCTTCCCTTCGTACTGTCACCATCAACAGCAAACTGTCTTCGAAGACTGTGGGCCTCATCGCGGACAGTACTATTAACTCGGTCTCGGTACTTCTTGCGCGCTCGAAGTGCACCACTAAAATCACCATGCTCACCCTCACCAACGCGGTGTTTTCCGAGACGCTCCTCGACCTGCTGCATTCCCTGACGAATCTTGCGGAGCTCCAAGTAAGGGCCGTCGCTCGCGGTTCGGAGGAATTGAAGCTCGTCGAGCTGCGGACGATGCTCAAGGAGGGCAAGAAGGTGGTGAAGTTGGATGATACAGAGGAGAGGGAGCAGACGCTGCTCAACCTCGTGCACCTTGAATTTGCTATCAATGTGGGGCAGACAGACGAGCCTGGGTATAGAAGCTTCTTCGGTACGGCGTTTTGCGTTATGCTGAAGGAGAGGAGCGTCAAAAAGCTGGATGTGCTGCAGCTGTCGCCGAGTACACGGAAGTTGGTGACGGATAAGTGCTGGCAAGAGATGTCCGCTGTGAAAGAGATTTCAATTCGAGTTCAAGAGCCTAGTATCTAGATTGACTTATGTGTATGTGTCTGTATATTATATTGTTACTTTATGCTTGTTATGATTACGCATTTCATTTTGCCGCTAGTGTGATTATTTTAACCTCGTCGCTTCCTGCTGGACA